CCCTACAGCACTCTAGATATTGTAGTTGTTTATTTAACTGGCTTTATTGTTGTGGCAGCCTGAAATCTGCTAAGAAGCCAGGAACAAGGGAATTATAAGGTTTCCTTGCCAGGTGTCAAATGACAATTAAGGCACATCCTTTTTAAACTGGGCTAGAAGAAAAGGACATTATTCAGTATTTAACAGGTTTACACAGGAAGAATGTAAGCACTTTGTATATGTATGTACGTGTACATGTGCACTCTGAATGGATTTATTACTGTTTAAGCCATTACATAGCATGTTGGTCAAAACAGATGTGATATTAGTGCATCTCGTTTTGCAGACCAAATTTGCATGCCTGTGTTGTATCTTGTTACCAAAAAAGTAGGCAGTTCTCCTTATCACTCAGCAATTCTGATGATATGAAGCTCACTAAAAAAATAAACGGTGCAAAACAACATTCAGTTTGCAATATAATTTTAATTTTTGCATTGCTGACCCCTACGTAAAAAGGCAGCCCAAAGGAAGTGGTGAAGGCTCTAGGTCCAAATTTTCCAGTGAGGTTTGTGGTGCCCAGATGGTTTGCTGATGAATGTATACAACAGCTCACATGGAAACGGTGCCCTTGAGTATTTCTGTTACCTCATACCTCAGCAGCATTACCTCAGCCTTTAAGCTTGGAGATTATAGATGAGAGTGGTATAAAATTGAGCGAAAAGGTATAAAGCAACCTCCTGTGGATGGTAATGCTGTGTTTATGACCCCTGTGCTATGTAACAGGTACATTTTGGCTGAATGATCTGTATTTTTCCTACCGTGATTAGGAATTCAGACCCATTCTACAAAAGGCCTGGGAGACTCTCAGTCTGCCTCCACTGATTTCAGTGGGAAAAGGGAAATTTGCCCCTATGGGATGAGTTTGTATGCATTCTTACTCAGTGTCACATAGGAAATCTGTGTCCCTGCAAGCTTCACCCATGTTTCTAAATCCTGGCAGCTCCGTCTCCATCCCTTTTCTCTTTACTAAGCTGTTGTTAATACTGCTTCTAAAAGGAAGTGAAGACAGAATTCAGTAAAAAACACCTACCAAGATGTCTTGTCGAAATAGGGTAACCTAATGTTGCATCTGCGCAACTCGTTTTAATGGTGAGGGTAGGCTGGCAGGACTGAAACAGAAACTGGGGAAGTGACTCAGGAGGGGAGGATAAAAGAGACATAAACAAGTGAAAACAAAAGAGCAAGTAGCCAGAAAGTAAGAAAATGTAAATTAAATCAATGCTGGGTATGCATATGCAAGTGCACATGCGCATGCATTAGAAGCACACTTTCCCTGGAAGACCAAACAATTCATGACAAACCTCGTACGGTTTTGAGCTGGTGCACAAAAAATGCTGCACTTATCATCACCCCAAATTACAAGGAACCTACTTGCTTATAACCTTACTCACATCAAATGAGCAGCTTTACACCATGTATGCTCACAGTCTTTTCATTATCATAAATTATTAACTAATGTGCAATTCAGTTGAAGGAAGAAGGACTTCTTTCTTCCCCTGCATTTTGTTGTTGCTGACTTCCATGCATTCCCATTTTGCAGTCGTTTCCTGGATCATGCAACAAGCAAAATGTACCAGGCTACAGAATATGTCTCCTGAAAATGCTGCTTAGTGATTCGCTTGGGAGGAAAAGAAACATACCAGTAAACTCCGACTCACCCAGCTCCACAATGTAATTTTACCAGACAGCACAGCAGAATATTTCAAATATCTTTATCAGCAAGGTATAAATGTATATAGATCTACTAATCATTCCCAGGAATAGGGAAGGAAAAGAAGCCACTTTCCTCTTGACTTCTAAATTCATTAAGTAGGAGCATGGCAATGGCTGACCTCAATGACAAATGATTTTTTCACTTCACTAGACATTTTAAAATGGGAAGAAAAGTCAAGATGAAACAGTATTTTTTGAAAGCTTTCTCCCTGAATCACAACATGAGGGAGAATATTCATTCTGTATCAAATTGTTCCATTTCAGCAGAACAAAATATTTTGTTTCAAAATAATTTGCATTTTTAAAGGTTTTATGTTAATTTGGAAAAAACTTATTAAGTGGATTGCAGCAGTACTTTGCAACAGTTCACTTTAAAATCACAGCAGTTTAGCAATTTCAACTTGGAGATGATAGGGTTGCCTTTGAGAGAG